ATTTGGGTTAATTATGATTATTTGTAGATTAATAGGCTAAATAGATCTAGTATACATACTTTGAATTTCGTTCTAAGATGTTACATGAGTCTATCAATGATCTTATCATTGTATTGTACTCACTCTAGAGACTCGTGTCCAGAAGGAGAAGGCTCCTTGGAGTCTCCAGAGAGCAGAAAGGCTTATTTAAGGGTCTCATCTGGCTGGTAGTTTTCGTAGGTCATGATTAGTAAAGGCAAGTAATCTCAAGAGATATAACAGACATCATGAAATTTAACATCCTAGTTTATTACTAATCTGATTTATTCAACTAGTGAGTGTGGCCAGGTGAATCACAATCTCTTATTTATTGGTTGCCAAGTCGGCAAAAAGCATGCTTGCTAACAAGAGGTCGAAGCCATGTCATGTGAAATCAAGCCTATAATAGTGTCAAGAGCTTATAGGGTGAAATCATGGTGTTATAGAATATCTTCGGAGATTCAATGTGGAGGTATAATACTTTCCCCTTTAGATGAGAACATCATAAACCGACCTTTTTTAGACATTTTTGTGTCGTAGGATCCTAACGAAGTTGCAGTATTGAAAGCGGTCTACTCCTGATTTAGACGGAGAGTAATACGATGTAATTCTTATATCACATTAGTGTTAAGCATTTCCTAGAAGCTTTTGAAAGTTACCGAGTAATTCTCGTATTATGGGTCTAGTAAATTGTTATATACTTCAACAGATCGATATAATCAACCAGATACTTTGAGAGGTTATAAGCAGTTGTTTTATTAATTAACCTAATTATATTAAGAATATCTTAACACTTGGAACGGGCATTCAACGTAATAGTTAGGAGGTGCATCTCAACATTATTGAGCAAAGATCTTTGAACGTTTGAGGCGTTTCAACACTTTGTAGCTTACTAGGAGTCTGAGTAGACTCAACTATACATAACCCTAGGTCATCGCATTTTCAATTTGATTTTTATTAAGAGTCTGTGGGGTGATTGCGATAGGTATAATATTTGTTCACATTAATTATTAACTATTGACCACGTATATAGACCTTGCAGACGTAGCTGCTCGAACCCAAGACTTGTAAGTAAAACAACATTTCATTTAACTACTGAGGTCACTAGATGGATTCTTTCAATTTAATTTTAAAAGCATGGGCTTAAGCATTTTTAATCAATGGCAGTGATAGCATGAGATTGGTATCCATACAAAAAATGCAGGAAAGAGGTGGGTCAATATGTATTATTCAATACTTAAATTACAGAATGTTACGAGATTTGCAGGTACAAAAAAATTGCAATTAACAAAAAGAAATCCCTATGCTATGTTATCTAACCTGAGAGAAACATGGATGTGTTTGTTTTCACCTTTAAAGAGTTTTTCATGATATAACTAATTATTTGAAATAAATTTTGAGTAATTTAAATTATATATGTATATATCAATTTTAATATGATATATTAATTTATTTAATTAAAAGTCATCCTAATGGTTAAATGACACATTTCATTAAGATTTCAAACCTATTCCATCCTCAATTATAAAAAAAAAATTAAAACTCGTCGTTTAATTGGCTTGATATACAAATAACCGCTAAAGTATAATTTATGTTAACTTTATGTATCTTGAATATTTTTTATTAATAATTATCACGTAACGTTATCGCGGTCTTTACTTTTTCGTTGATCAATGACATAACATATTTATATAAGATTATGTGATAATATTATATAATGTCATGTGAGAAAATTTTTAAAAATTTTCAATAAATTTATATAAAAAATTCAAAAAAAAAATTATATAAATTTATCAACCTTTCGGCCAATCTTTTAAGACAAGATATTTTGATAAGCCCGCTTCTAATAGCGATCCGTTGAAAGTGGAAGAGAATAACGAATTACGTTATGCAGGCATCGCTAAAAGTATCATTTATGTGAATATAGAAAGCTAATAAAGACATGTGGCTTTTGTGGTGATGAGAGACGCTTCATCAAAGATTGTTTGAAAAAATTTCAGTTTCATCTCAGAGAAGTTTAGTGCCATCTGTCTCTAAGGGGTCGAGACCCTACAAGGCCTCACTCTAAATTCCTGGCTAATTCAAAGGTCAATTTGCAGACATGACTCGTCAGGAATCTAATATTTTAACTCCGATGTATCTAGATATAGCAACGGATCGGATTAGGACGAGTTTTTGGTTAATCCAATACAACCCGGATATATATATATTATACTATACTTGAACTCGATCCGATCAAAAAAATATATACTTGAACCTGATCCGACCCAATGCAACCCAATCCGACATAAAATAATGACTTAATTAAAAAAAGAAAAAAAAAGGATATTATAACAATTATTAAATTTGTATGAAAAAATACATTATTATGTCAGATCTTGTTAGAGATTTTTCACCCTCCATTCAAACCTGATCCCACCCAATCCACTTGACCTCACTCTATATAAAACACAACCCAAACCCATCTTGAACCTAAATTCTTCTTTTTTTTTAAAAAAAAAAGTCCACCGTATCAAACCAGGTCGAATCAAAATTCGTAAATTTTGATTTTTTTTCGCTATCTCTAAGGGTGTGTTTGGTTGGGGGAATGTGAGATTTCATTCCTATGGGAATCTCACATTCCCCCGTTTGGTTGGTCGGGAATGTTATTCCCGGTAATCTTACATTACAAATAGTGGAATTTTTGGTGTGTATTACCTGGGATGTCATTACCTCCATTTTCTTAGGTATTGTTGGATTACTGGCGTTTTTGACTAAAATTCCCTTAAAAAAATTCTTTCAAAAATATCTTTATTCTGTCATTGAATAATAAAAATTCTACAAAGGTTAAATTATAAATTTATCCTTAAACTATTTTAGATTTACAAAAAAAATCTATAATTAAAATTTTATATGAAATTCAGGGGTTAAAATAAAATTTTACCCTTTCATTAAACCTTTTTATATTTTCAATTTTGTAAAAAAAATTATATAAATTTTATGAATTTAAATTTTTTAAAGAAAATATATAAATATTTTCCAACTTGTTAAAAACAAATATATAATAAGGATAATTTGGTCAAATATACATTCTAGTAATCTTTTATTCCTTTAACTAAACATGATAACCTTACATTTCTGCTAAACCATTTAAACACAAAATATAACATTCCCAGTAATTCTATTCCTTGATAATCTTTTATTCCCACTGATAATCTTACATTCCGTGAACCAAACGCACCCTAAATGTATATCACGTTTGTACTCAAGATGAGCAATATGCCTGGATATGACTATGAATATATTTGAACTATTTAATAAGTTTGTGTTTACATTAATGGATATGGATTTAAACGATTATTTAATAATTTTTAATAATTAATCCATAAAAAGAATTAGTAATAATTCAACGATTATCTAACAATACGTGAATTTATAAATCATTAATAAATTATAAGATGATACATAATCAATTAGAATCTAATAATGGAATCCGACATCCTTAAGAAATGGGTTAGTCGACATTTCATATTGGAAATTTCCATTTCGTTTGTTGACAAATCAATCCTCCAATTTAGATCCAGAGTGACGATGATAGAATTTTAACATGGTTTTGTAAGCTTAAATTCTTAAATCCGAACCACTACTAATAACCGATCAACTACTTGTTATGAACCTGATTTCCAAGCATGTGCATATCTTTACCAAATGTATTTGAAAGCTTCCATGATCAATAAACGATTTACTTTTCGTTTTTAATGTAAATTTGACCATAAGAAATCTTTATTCAGTCATGTGTTCATACGCTTCCACGTTTTATTCCTTGTATTCTCTTTTTTTTTTATTGTTAATAATTTTAGTCAAGAAGGATATACATTTTATATCACCAAAAGTCAATGTTTTCTCCGCGTTGAAAACATATTTGTAAATACTTTTATTTTACTGTTTTCCTAGATTTGATCATTTGCATAAGCATACATGTAATGCGTTGCTTTTATCTCAAACTATTAAGGTTTAAGGGTTTATCAAATAAAAAAAGATTTATAGAAACATGGATTATCAAATAATTAAGTTATAAATAGATTTACAGATACTATTTTATAATCACATTATCTTAATAAAAAAATAAATATCAATTTAAAATATAAATCATAATGCATATAAGATATAAGTATGGATTATCAAATAATTAAGTTATAAATAGATATAACCTCGTATTCATATCAGATTTATAGAAAAAATAATAATTAACGAAGGGGTATGGAGTGAGTGTTAGAAAAGAAATGTAACCTTGTTTAATTCTGCAGAAATTTCGAGAAAGTGTGCTCTGTTTCGACGAAACACATTGAACCTTCGATAATCCTATTTGAATATTTCTTCGTTTGTTGACAAATCAATAATCTTGTGGGAAGAGGAAATATCCGAATGGTGCTGGAAGAAGATTCTCCTTCATTTTCTCATGGGATTGACTTTTTATTCTGGATAGATGTACATCATAAAATTTATATTTTTTATTAATATTTTAAAATATATTTTCAAAAAAATAAAATTTTAAAATATATTTATATATATATTCAACAAATTAGAATTATTTCTCATCAGCAAAAGATGCCTTAATGGAAAGGATATTTGAGAAATTAAAATAAAAGAATGGAGTTTGTGCGTTGAACAGATTCCATCTCTTGTGTGTGTTCTCAATGAAAACACTATCCTGAACATGACTAGGAGACGAGATGGAAGTGGATCGTGATTCTCCTTTCCATGTACAACCATTATGGTATTGCTCGTCATCTTACGTATAAAATTAGCTGGTCCTATTCTCATTTATAATAGGGTAAGAGAATGTAAGGTAGTAGATTGTCCCCTAACGTCAGGTTGAAAGTAACTTTCGTTATGAATTAAATGTCGGTTTATAAAATTATTGATATATTATCAAATTCAAAAATAAAGATCGATTTGGGATTGAAGCAATTTTGAGGATCAGAACCAAAGGCAAAGAAGTAAACAAAAATCACCAATAGAATTAAATGTAATAATTACAGAATAGGTGACTCTCAACCCCCACTTCTCCACCGCAAACCCAACCTTTTTGACCCATACCCACAGCTGGAATCAGCCAACATCTCACCCCTCCACCCACCGCACCGTAGGTCTCTCAATGACGATTTTACCCTTATCTCATTCTTCGTCTTATCGCATTGCCGGTAAACCGAGTTGCCACTGTCATCGAAAGAATTGGAAATTTCCAAACGTGTCCTCGTCAACTCCGGATATTCCGTACTTGTCCCTTCCTCGCAATTCACACATGGTTCAATAGCGTAACTCCTTACCGTCGCCCAAACTTCCGATTCCCAGTTTACCCCTCCTCCCTCTGCTGCTAATTTACCGATCCTTTCTCTCGCCGACGATTCGAAATTCTCCGTCTTCTCTTTGAAATCCGAGCTGGCGAAATCGAGCACGCAGCGCGGAGATGATTCGCCCATCATTTTCGGCGGCGAAGCGGATGCTACGAATGGATGCTGCAGCAGCTGATCGCAGCTCCACCTTTGATTCGGGTCCCTTCTCAAACACTTGTCCACGAAATCCTTGCCGAGTTTGGATAACTGAGTGGGCAACTCGGGCAATTCCTCCGAGTTTGCAATTCGACGTAGCGAGTCCAAACCGTGATCCTCCCAAGCTGGCTGCCCGGTGATCATCTCGATGACGGTGCATCCCAATGACCAAACATCACTCTCCGGTCCTTGATACTCGCCGCGAATCACCTCCGGCGCCATCCATAGAGGGCTTCCACGTGGCGTGATCAGGTGCCTAGAAATATCTTCTTCGCTTTTCTTTTTAATCTCAATCGCCGAGCCGAAATCCGCGAGCTTTACGGCAGTGGAATCCATGCCCAGCAAAACATTTCTCCCTTTCACGTCACAGTGTACAATTCCTTGGTCGTGCACGTGCTTCAAAGCCGAAACCAAGCAACGCGTGTGACACCGCAGCATCATTCCGTCCACGTCAGCCAACCGTCGTTTAACATTCGCCACGTCAGAAACGGTGCCGCCTGGCAAGTACTCCAAGTGAAGGTTCCGATAAGAATTCCCCAGAGTGACGTCATCGCCGAGATACTCAACCACGTAAGGGGAGGAAAGTGAACGGAGGACCCTGATTTCGTTCTCTAAAGACTCCACCTGGTTGGGAAGAAAGGCTTTTAAATCAACGGACTTGACTGCAAAAACGGCACCGTTGGCTTCGTTGATTGCTAAGCTTACGTTGCCAAAGGAGCCTTTGCCTATACACTTGCCTCTTGTCCATGAAGTGATCTGGGTTTTGCTCTGTTTCTCCATCTCTCGAACTCTCAAAACTTATGTCTATGTTCTAATGCGTATGTTATTGTGAACGCCCGAACGTGGGTATTTAAATACGAGTGAGCTAAATATTTCAATAATGATATTTGTGTCTTACGTGGAAATTATAGGTGGATAAACCGGAAAACTGTTTATCATGTCTTCCATTTTTGATTTAGGAAGTGGACTTGTGTTTTGACGTAGAAGGATACTGGAGGATGATTCTGGGTTTATCCTTATCTTTGGGCCAATTGTAGTTCATCTAAGCCGTTGACTAGTTAATAGTTTAAAATGGACAAATATATGTATAATTATAGATAAAAAGTTTGAATTCAAATTATATAAAAAAATATTTTTTTACTATTGAAACCATTCTTTGAGTTCTAGTCAAGAGTTCTTTCATTTAACGGTATGCTTTTTTAACATATGATCATTGAACTAATAGTATATATTGAACTATAAAAGTTTAACTACATTAAGTGATCTTAATATAAAAGAAAATATTATTTTATTTGTAGATGTAATTAAATAAATATTATCTTTAATCACGAAAAATTATTAAAAAGTGGTATTTTATTATTTGAAATTTAATGTAATGAGCATTTTATAAAGGTAACTTATAGGGAGATGTGAGTAAATGAGGGTGCCAAGTTGAAGTTTGGTGGCCAAAACCAAAAATGCCAAAGAGACAGATGTATGGGTTGGATACTGTTGTTCCAAATGAAAACCTAACGATCAGCTCACGTGGCACCAATCCAAAAACATGAGGCTGTTGGTTAGGAGATCTAACGATGCTTGTCTCTGTCTTGTTTGCAGTGGAGAGTCTGTTGACGTGCTCCACCTGTCTCCATTAAATAAAATCTCATTCACCTAAAAAACATATGTATATTTTTAAATCCAATTAGCTGCTGGATTAATTAAGAGTCTAGTTATTCGTACTCATACTTGACATGTACGAAGATAACGAAACTCAAAATTGCGAGTACGCATTGTCTCCGAACTTTGGCCTTTTTAAAACCAGACGTTGATGCTATTTGAAGAATAGGACATGCTCTTCTTCTATTTTTTTTTTTTTGGAGATCATCATTCATCAACAAGGATCTTCTTTTTGGTTCTTTTTCGAATGAATGGTTAAAGTCAGGAGACCTAATGCCATGCCGTGTTTCCCTATGCTTATTATTCCGGGCCAAATAACAGTCACCATCCCTCGACTATACCATAGATGGATAGAGGATTGTTGAGGCACGTGTTCTTTCTGGTATTTTCTTGTTGTTGTTGATAATTTAATTTTACATTTTGTTAAAATTTTATAATTTTAAACACCTTAAATTTTAATTTAACTTTTTAAATTTATGCTCATAACATAAAATCTTTCATTCAGTCTTAGACCATACAATCGATAAAAAAGGGCCACTTGAAAAGATTCCACTATAATCTTAATCTAGCTTCAAAGGGTTGGATTGGATAAGGTAGAGGAATTCACGTACCTAAAGAAGACAAAGGAAAAGAGAGAAATTCTAGTCCAATCAAACTACAAATGGGAAAGAAAGAAATGAAAGCGAAGGAAATGAACATGGGTTTGGTCAATTTGAAGTCTTTGTTTTAAGCCACTTGGATGGCAAATAACCAAGTGAGCTTGTTGGGATGTTGTCGGGTTTGCATTCGGAAGGTGATTCAATAAATGAACCAAACGCAAAGACCGAACCCCATAGGTAAGCTTTGGAGTGTTGTGTTGGGATTATTGCGTTTCTCTTTGGTGCGGAAAGTGTTTTAAATCACACCACACCTTTCCTACCCGCTTTAGTAAATAAAGCCGGCAGTCTTCATGTCTATCGCATTATTGTCTGCGCGCCTCATTCTTATCCAAATCGCCAATTTTGGGTTTGGCTTTGGGTCTTCAAGTTTTCTTATACAAATAACAGGTGAATTAGAACGCGCGGTACATATTTTTAATTTGATCTCTTTTTTTTAGGGTAAAGTAAAAAAATATCCTAATTATAGAATGTTACTTTGTTAAGTACCATGATTATTGAGAGTTATAAAATTAACATTCGACTTTTTATACGTTATGATCTCGGTTTTTTTCAATAAGAAATTAATAGTCATTTGAGTTGAATGTTAAAAAGTAATACTAACTATCAATCATGTGGATCCATACTTTTTTTAATGGTTCCTATCTAGAGGGAGGGAGAAGGCAAATTTTACTCCTAATGGGTATTGAACCCACAATCTAAGATATGTGTCAACTAAAAGTTTTTAACCTTCCACTTTAGATATTGTTAAAATGCGAATCCATACTTTTGAATCTCAATAGTCAATCCATATTCAAATTAGTTTTTAGTTCGACACATTTGAATTTGACACTCGAATTCATTTCGTTTCAAGTTTTGTTCATTTTAAGTTCAAATCGATCTACATTTGAGTCATTTCTTATTCAAACTGTTTTAGTTCTAATAAAGTTGAATTCAAGCTGTTGACCTAATGTCAAATTACATCAGATCAAATTTATATATGAATTAATCAGATTTTTAAGTTAAAACAAAAAGAAATAGATGTAGTTAAACTCATATAAAAGAAAATTAGTCCATTTGAATGGTGCAAAAATTATATAAATCCAGAGAGTGAGAATAAGTAATATAATGGAATATTTACTACACTTACCGGCTAGCAATGAAAGCAATGGCAGAGATTTGTTGCATGGGAGACAAATTTGTGAAGAAAGGCAGGAAAACAGCGAGGCAATGTTGCCAATATTTGTTGTAAAACCAGATATCTAAGGAAAGGAAAGAAAACTTAATATAAGGCTAAGAAAATATGCTACAAAAAATGTTATTATTTTTTAATATTTTCGATAGTGCGCTACCGAAATATTAATAGCAGACGCTACCTAAATATTATTTTTTTCTACCGAAAATGTTAATATAAAAAATATTTATTTTAGATAACATTTCTGATAAAAAAATAACATTTTAAGTAACACTCTAAAAAATATTAAAATAATATTAATATTTTTAATAACACATTTTTTTTATACTGGCTGAGTACAACAACACTACCCAAAACAACAAGACAAAGACGCAAACACATGAAGCGGGTGGTAGTTCGAGTGGGTATCACCTATCAACAGAAACCATACGATCAACGGATCAGAATCACCTATCAACAACTAAAGTCAACGTTTACAAGTCAAGTGGGTATCACCTCAATAAGACATCGATTCGATGGTAGTTAGAGGTTTAATAACTTCACGATTACATCAACATGTGTTTGTTGATTTGAATTTAATTAATATTTGTAATGATTAATTTTATTTATTCTAGTATTATATTTATAATAATTTTACATTCAATCCTTTTCTCTTTTTTGAATAATTTATACTTAAATATTTTAAATCATTGAAACATTTTTATACAATATTTAAACTATTCAAATATATTTTTACCCTATAAATTTAAAAAATATTGTGCACGTAAACAAATTTTAATAGTCAAAATAATAATGCTTATCGAACTAAAAATTAAGAGTAAAAAATATTTAAACATAGTTAAATATGAAAGATATAGATGTATTGTATTATTTGCCATCATATTTTGTTAGCATATTATCCTAAGACTGCATACTTTTATTAACATACTAAATAGTAAAATATTAATATCCAAACTTAAAAATTTAACATATTCTGAAGCCTGTATGGATTGAACATTAGTCCGATTAATACTATTGTTGTTGTTGTAACATCTTATTGGTCGACAATTTTTTTAATGGTGTTAATGATTTGGGACAAATGAGATAACGATTTAAAATTAAAATAGCAAAACGTCCCTGAAAATATTTTAAAGGGCAACTAGATACATGGTATAGTTCAGGGGACAACGGGTCCTATATATATTCATTTGTGATTTAAAAATTAAAAATTATGAATAAATTTAGATATTATAGTTTGACAAAAATGAAAGTGAAACAAACATGATGCCACTCAAATTGCAATCCAACCAAAACCAAGTTGCTGGTAAGGTGCTAAGAAGGATTAAAAAGAAGTTTTGACATTTGGTCGTTCTCAACCTCAAGTGCTATTTATTGGTCGAGATTTTGGTTTGACATATTTTTATCATTTCCTGTGATAAAGATCGGTTGAATGTGTAATTATAAAGTTTTGTGCCACACTATCTGTTTTTTTGGGTTAAATTACATTGATCCTCACTTAACTTTACTTTCTCCACTATTTTACTCACTGTACTTTCTATTTTTCTATTTTGGTCATTAAATTTTACAGATTGAATTATTTTGCTCTCTCTATCGTTAACTCTCTAACGGTGTGATGACATGTCATTTATTATTATTATTTAATATCAAATAATTGAAAATATAAAGGTTAAGTTACATTATTCTTTACTGAAATTTACTCTCTCCCCTATTTTGCTCACCGTTAAAAAAAGTTAACGGCATAGTGAACAAAATGATTCTATCTGTAAAGTTCAGTGAGCAAAGTAGAAAAATTGAAACCACGGTAAGAAAATAAGAAAAATAGTAAAATTCAAAACGGTAGAATTTACCTTTCTTTTATGATGGTTGTTATTAATACGATGAATCCAGCGCATAGTTCAAAAGGATGCACAGTGAAGAAGAAAGATGGTTGACACCTTCAACGATTCATATCCCGAATTGACCCATAATTCCATTCCCCCCAAGTTGTAGTTTTTAGGGCAACAAGTTGATGTTTATATATCTTCCATTTGGTTCAAATTGTATTTACACATAACTCACTTCGAATCTCAAACTCTTTGAAATCCATATTCCCACGGCATACGCAAATACCTCAAACTCATCCAAAATGCTGAAATTCCCCATCCTCAACAGCGTCAAAATGCATGACATCCCAGATTTCGACTGATCTTAAACCTCAATTGATTAGAAAAAACCCATATTTAGATCTACGGATGGGCATGGGTTGGGTTTTTGGTCCACTCGACCCAACCCGACCCGTTCCGAGAAAAAGGGATCCTCCACCCGAGATCCGACAAGACCTGACCAAAACAAGGTTTCACCCAACTCGATATGTAACTTAGAAACCCGACCCGACCCTAAATAATAAAAAATATTATTTTTATTCAATAAAAATAGTGACTTAATTGAAAAAAATATATAAAGGGGTATTATTGTAATTATTCCTAAATATATAAGGTAAAATTATATATTTTTCGAGTCGGATCGGGTATTTTCACCCTAAACCCGAACCTGACCCGACTCGACCGGAACCCGAATTTTTTATACTCGGGTCGGAACCCGTCGGGTTCGGGTCCCACGCCCATCCTTATTTAGATCCAAAATCTCCCTATTCGAAGAGAAACGAATTTAGAAGATATAATATTAAAAATACTTCTAATATTTGATTAAATAATTATTTTAATTTTTTTTTAAATTTTGATCACTTTAACTCCTAATAGTTTATTTTAGGATCAAAATAATCCTCATTGAATGAAAATCGTTAATCTAGTAACGATCAACCCTTACTGCTTACGTGACACGAGTCTAAAGTAACGATGTAGCATTACCAGATCAACAAGTGATTCAATCCGAAACCAATTCAATACACCAATTGTAGAATCATGCTTTGGCAACGAGTGACATACCATCTCGTGAACTAGTTCTTATTCAGGGTATACTTTTCCCACTGATTAAGGGATGGGAAAATCTTGAGGGGAAAAAATCATTTAAAAAAGTTTAATGAGATGGGAACATTGAATTAAATTAATAATTTCATAGTTTTTTGAATAAAGAATGCCCTAACTTAGTTTAATATACAAACAATGAGGCTGGGAATCATCAAGAATCCCACAAAGAATTGTCAATAAAAAGACTTGAACCAAAATAACTCATCTCCACCTCTACTTATCTCAGAAACACCTCTGACAATTAGCTCTAAATAAATGATTCTTGTATGAATTATGGTACATGTTAATCCCACGAGTTAAATTGGTATTAAGCAAATCAAACATAGTGCCCCAACTGAATCAGCATCACACTGATATCATCGGACGAGCCTCGAGAAAGAGAAAGGTCGACTAGTTTCTTACAAGCGGACAATGGAACCGGTTTATCGATGCCCGTACACGACCGGCGAGCGATGTCGACTGCTTCTTGATTACTAACCTGGAAAAGTAGAAGGAAGAAAGAGAAGATTTAGATTCATATGAAAAGTCATCCATTGTAAGTACTTGAGAAGAGAAGAAGAGCCTCATACCTTGTCCCATAAGCCGTCAGAGGCCAATATTAAGAAGTCGCATTCGGGTTCGATTCGAACGATCTTTGTCTCGGGCTCGGAGATCACCCACGGTTTAAGGTGATGATCTCCGATCCCTCTGGAGACAGCTAGAGAACCGTGAACTCTCCAAACACCACGGCATAAATCCACATAGCCGCCCTGAAAGAACAAATTCATACCATGCATGCATTATAATCACTGACGGTCTTATCAAGTTCGTGGGCATGGGTCATTTATTTATGGTAAAATTGCTCACCGAACTCTGAATTCTGCTCCTTTCATCCTCCCTCGAAGGTCGGTGATCGGAGGTGAGAGCTTCAGCCACACCACCTCTGCTCAAAACGGCATGGCAATCGCCGGCGTTAGACGCAACGAGGTTCCCGTTTCGGATCAAAGCTGTCACGCAGCATGTGCCACCAGCGGCATCTTCCTTGAAAAAATCAGCATCTGTTTTTAAATAACCTTGTTTAACAGCTTCCTTTACAGTAGTTTCGTCTTTATTTCTAGCAACCTCGGCTAAAATGTTCTTCTCCAATTTCTGGGCAGCAAATTCTGCAGCTTTAGCTCCTCCATGTCCATCAAAAACGCCAAAAAACGCCTGCAAATAACATGTAAGAAACTCGTTCTAAATCAAATTCAGATTTTTAGGCCAAATCATCCATTTTGTTTAAAATTCAGTCACCACTGTTTATGTAAGAAACAAAAGTAGATCCGGTTGTTTTGGATCAGGGCAATCTGGATCGGATTAATTAGAGTTTTAATGATCAAATTGAGGCAGACCATCAAAGACTAAAGAACTCAAACTGTAAATGATGAAGAAATCTGAGAAAAAAAAATACTATAAAATGTAAAAGGTACCTGTTTGGGATCTCCTTGAAGTTCGACAGAAGCTGAGAACCTATCTTCCATGGCTTCTCTCCTCCCTCTTTTACAATAAACTGCGTATCCTTCTCCCTCGCTCTCCAACTCTCTCCTTACTTCACACGGCGTCGCCGGCATCCCCAAACACATAGACGGCGTCGCAACCGGTATGTCCAGCCTCGCCGGTCTCTTCCTCTTCAAAATTGCCGACACCGATCCCGGTCCCTGACCAGCAGACGAGCCGGAACCCGAGGTAGGCGATGATGATGAAGCGACTGCAGAAGAAGATAACAACAAAGACAAAGGTGGCGGCTTTTGAAGGTGGAGCCTGAAAGGAGAAGAGGGCGAAGAAGCAGACGGAGAAGCTGGAGAAGACGAAGGTTTGAGGTGAGTCAACGTTATATTCCGAGCTTCAGCCGACGGAGAGAGGGTGGAAGTTTTGTTACAGAAGAGAGACGACGACGGAGAAAACACCGGAGAGTTAGATACGGCAACGGAACACGACATCTTTTTGTTTTGTTTTGTATTTTTCCCCTTTGTTTCTTTTGCAACGTTCGAATTTGGGCTTTGTTTCTTTTCTGTGATATATATATATACAGAGAGAGAGAGAAAGAGAGAGAGAGACAGAGAGAGGGAAGTTGAATTCAACGAAGACCTTTGCTTAGGCTGTTAATGGCGGTGTGATTATGGCTTAGAGATTTTGACTTTGGGACTTGAGTTTTGGACACTCTGTTTCTATTTTGTGAAAACGTCACGGTTACCCTTGTTAACGGAATGTAATATTATTGTGAAAATATTATATTATATTATTTTATTTATTTAATAAGAATGTAAAATTATAATTATTTATTGAACGAATATAAGATTATTTGATTTTATATTTTATTAAATTATTTTTGTGGTATATATATTTTAAAAGAATTAAACTTTAGTATTAAATTGTAATTATTTGAATGAAAATTCATAAAAATATTTTAATCATTATACAATCTAACTTTTGATAAAAATATATTTAATATATAATTAGTTTATTAAACTTATATTTTTAAATAATTTTCATAAGCATCATATTTATTTATATATAATATAATATGAAAAAAAATAATATTATGATCTCGAGTGAACAATGATATTGGGGGGTTTTGTAAACAACTGATAGTTGGTAGGTGATTTCAGTAGTTGGTTTGACCAACTGATTTGATTAACTAATTTGAGAAATTAATTTAATTAATTGTTTATAAAAAGGTGTTTGGTAAAATTTAGTTGATAACTGATATGAATAAAATGATAAATGAGGGTATAATACATTTAGTTGTTAAGTACATATATGTTCTATAATACTTTAGTCTTTATTGGGGTGAAATTATTCGAACAAAATGATTTTGACAATGAATTAAAAATTTCTTAAGAAAATTAGTGAATATTTTTTAAAATTTTGAATATATTTTTTAAATTTAATATTTATAAATATTAACATTGTGAGATTGATACATATTATTAACCTTGTATAAAATATCAACACTAATTTTTTTACTTTCATGTTTTGCTATATTTTCTTAACTAAAATATATTTAAGAATCTACAACTAAAAATAGATAATAAAATAATATTTCACTAATTCGTCATTAGACATTGCATAAAATTTGTTTTACATAAGTTCATTGAAAATAAATTTAGATTACATAAATATTCAAGAAAAAAGATATATCTCTAAACAAGTACAAACAAATAGGAATATTCAAACGGATTAGGTTGTAGATTATTTCATTAGATTAGGTTTTATGGCAATGATGTAATTATAAAAATAATAAGGTCGAATATGTCATTTAACATCTTATTTTATAATCAGGTCTTCTAACCCGTTGGATTTTCCAACTTTTTCAGTTTATTTTGTACAATCAACTTTTTTAAAAAATTATTTATCAAACACTAAAAATAGAGAGTTTAACTATCAATCGATTATTTATGCTCAAATAAACTAAAAGTTCTTCAAAAAAGTTATTCACCAAACACCCTCATTATTTTTCAATGTATAAGATCTATTTTTTCCTTTCCTAATTTTATTTCATACAAATCGCAATATGATTACTTTGTTATAGGTAAAGTATATAAATAATTCTTAAACTTTTAGGACGCTTGTAACGTCAGTATTTACTTAACTCTGTTAACCCATTTCTTCTTCTTCTTTTTCTTTTATCTAATTAATGTCCTTTCTCTTTCTTTTTCAAAAAAGAAAAGAAAAAAAATATTGAAACTCTTTTTACGACGCCATAGAAGATGTGTGGAGGTGCAATCATTACCAATTTCGCCGTCGTGAAGCGTGATCGAAAGTTAGTTGCCCGAGATTTTTGGTTTGAACTCGACACATTCTCGGACCTGTTGAGTCTAGATTGCAGCAATGGAAAAGACTCCTTCAATAAACTCGACAACAAGGTCAGTTCCAAAGACAAACAACTCGACAAAAGTATGATTTTTGATTCCTGGTTTTCTTCAAATTATGGGATTTTATTATGATTTTTGATTCCTGGTTTTCTTCAAATTATGGGATTTTATTTATTTATGCAAAAATCCTTGTTTTTCCATTTATTATTGCATGTTCTTGATTTTTTTCTGAATATTTTTTATGGTTTTAAAATCTTAAACTATGATTTCATGTAAAAGAAAATGTTGAAGTTTTGATTTTTCAGTTTAAAGAAATAAAGTATCAAGTAAGAGAGAAGACAAGTTTAAAGACACAATCTTTACTGTTGTTTTTAATGAGGTGATTTTCAGTGACGAACGAGGAGACTCAGAAGACAAAGCGAGGCAAAGAGAAAGAGGGGAAGACTGAGTGAACTCGGAAGAACATCTACAGAGGAATCAAACAAAGACCATAGGGGAAATGGGCAACTGAGATCAGAGATCCTCACAAAGGCGTCCGAGTCTAGTTTAATACCTATAAGGCTATAACACAGCTGAAGAAGCGGCTCGAGCCTACAATGAAACCACTAAGCGCATCCGTAGGGACAAAGTCAAGTTCAACTTCCCTCATCAAAATCTGAAGTTGATATGATTAGCCTTGGGGGATAACTCTCTGTTTTGACTATACCCTTTAGGTGTGTATCAATGTTTTTAATTTGGGTGTTCGTTGATTTTGTTTACCCTCAAATAAGGTCATGCAATCCACTGTTAACTGGTACATTTTATTCTATTAATAAATTGATTGGTGTGCTAAAAAAACTGAAGTTGGAATTGTAATGGCTTTTAATGATGTTGCATTGTGTTCTGCAAAGTGTTCTGGATGATCATAATGGAACTGTAATGGCCTATGGCCAAACTGGAACGGGGAAAACTTTTACTCTTGGACGATTGGGTGCAGGGCCGTGGCTGGGGGCGCAAACTGCGCGACCGCGCAGGACCCCCCAAAAATGGGCCCCAAAAAATATATATATAGTGGCATTTTACCAATAAACGTCACTATAGATGGACCTATTGTGACGTTTTTTCAAAAAATCGCCACTATTATTGCGTCTTTATTGATAAAACGCCATTATATATGGATCTATTGCGGCGTTTATCAAGAAAACGCCACTATTGTTGCCCCGAAATCGAATATATCTAGAAAATAGGGCCCCTTTATACGAATTTGTACAAGGCCCCCGAAAACCCTACCACGACCCTGATTGGGTGAGGAAGATACCTCTGCTCGTGGAATAATGGTCTGCTTACTGAAGGAGATTTTAGCAAATGTTTATTTCAAAATCGATTTTGTCTCCATTTCATATCTGCAGGTTGTTAGGTTCATGATTTTAATTCTATTAATCTGAGGGTTTCTTCTTAAGATTTTCCATCAGGAACTCAAGTTTTTCGTGTCCTCATTATCATCTCCGGGTTCCTCCATTCTCATTGACTTTGAATCCTTCAATGATGTACTTAAATCTTCTGCAACATAAACAAGTTCCCCAAAAGGTTAGGGTTTTCAATGAAAAAAAGAAGAGAGTTGACGGGAGGTTAATTGCCACGTCAACAAAAAACTAACGGAGGTAACGACAGGGACCTTAGTGGAAATGAACTAAAAGTCCGATGACTGTATTATAAGTTTCAAAAGTTGGGTGACCAAAATGCAAGCACCTTAAAAGTTTTGTGACTATTCATATACTTTACTCTTTTTTTATTTACATATTCATAATTAAGTGTATCAGTTCAAGACTTATGATGATGTGATCATGAATAATTGTTCAATTATAATGATTGAGGTGCATCTCAACCCAACGATTGAGGAGCATCTCATGCCAACCAGAGCCGGCTCTTGGCAGGAGCACCTTGGGTAATTACTCAGAGCCCCGTTCCTTTAATATTTATACTTAGGGCTCTATACTTTTAATCTTTATAATTAGGCTCTCACTCTTTTAATCATTACAATTATGGCTCCATTCTTTAGTAATTTATATTGTGTTTGATAAAGTTCAATTATTTTTTATAGCTTATTAATAAAATATTAAATTAAGTGTTCAATGTAATAAAATATGTTTTCGTTTTACAGAGATTTATTTTTAAATTTTCGTTCAGAACCTCGAAAATATCTTAGGCAGCTAAGATGCCAATACCTTGAGCTGAGGGATTTCAACTTTGCAATTAGAAAGCATCTCATGTTATCAAATATTTAAACTTGTAAATTGATAAAGATCTCGCACTTTCCGAAATATCTATGTATTCATAATTATGTATTTACGAAACTCGACCATGTGATCAAGAATTCAACATCTCACAATTTAAGTGAATATTTATGATGAATAGATTTCAACCCTGCGATAAGAGAAATGTCCCTCACTCGTGGTGAAAATTTTGATCATAACAGTTGTTGATATGTAAGTACAACATATGATATCATCTAATTAGCATAGCATAGAATGTTTTCTAATTAGTTTCTTTAATCAATTCTTACGAACAAGCAAATAGTAATAGAGGTTACTGAGTTTGTAATCTTTTGATATGGAACAAGTCTCATACAACAACTGTTAACGCGTTTGTTTGCTTTCCAATGAAAGAGGCCTTTTGTTCACCTTCTTTACCTCGTTGTATAGAAAATCAATGCAGACTTCTTCGTTTGTCCTGTACATGGTACTCTACTACAAGAGCCATCAAAGTTTCTTCCCTTATCTTGTCTATGGTATCTTCTGGTGGATTAAAATCTATAATTATGGGCACATAGTTTTAATGTACTTTGTTATCATAAAATATAACATAAATTTAAGTAGCCAACTATGTTATAAAGTCAAAAGATATTAGAAGTGTCATAGAAATTAAAGTGTAGATACTATTAAAGTTGCATTTATAATTTGATGAGGGCAGAGTTATAAATACATACAATAATTGATTCTTAAATTAGCTAAATAAAAGGGTTACAGTCCCCAAGAAATAACATGTCTCGTATTTTATCTTATCCCCGTCAGATAGTTTATACTCAATAGAATTCTATATTCTTGGTAGATCACAAATCAAAGAAACACTTAAAGATTTCAACCTATTAATTAGTCAACGTAAGCTTCCACATCCAATATTTTATTTTTGATGATTTGGTATAATTAGATCATTGTTTGTTTTCATATTTATTATGGTTTGGTTCTAACATATTCGTCAATGATTTTTAACCTGGGTAGGTACATGCTTACTACACCAAAATGTTGATATACAATATTGAAGGCTAGTGATTTTAACAGTTCTTAGCAATTTGTTTCTTCTAATTTGGACCGAAAAT